TAAAGAATGGTTTTATGGTTCATAAAGTATACGAATTTTTTACGAATTCAGAAAGAGGTTTTTGTGTTTCCTATGAAAATATTTTTTAGATTATAAGTAAGATTGAAAACTGTGTACTTTGGGTTATAAATAAAAATATATTTGTACGCGCGTGTGTGTGTATATATATTTAAAACAAAAAATTATAAATTATATAGGAGATGGAGAATAAATTTATGACAAATGTTAATTATAACATAATTATGATTTGATTAGTATTTTTTATTCCAGTTATATGTATAAATATTTGTTTTTTTTCATTGATTTTCAATTAATTTCTTAAGTATTTATTTTAATATATATATATATATATACACTAAAAAAAATTTACCATTTATTTTCATCTTTATGGATACTATTTTTTTATTTTTTTTTCTGTAAATCGTAAGATAACATAAAAATATAAAATATATCTTTTTACACACAAAAAAACACACACACACACACACACACACACACACACACACACACATATATACACACATTATCACACACTTTCTAATATATTAATTTTACATGCGTGTGTGTGTATGTTTGAAGAAAATCAATATTATGTGAAACATACCACTAAAGTGTACAAATAATATGTGTATATATATTTATTTTTTTATGGCCTGAACAAGTTTTGGGATACACCAAGACTGACAACTTGTCAATTTCCTTGTTTGACAACTGCTATTAAAAGCGTATTAAACAGCTGGGATATTTTGGTTAGCATGATTGTGATGACAGAACGAGGAAGTGAAGATTTTTCATCGGAATTTGCAATACAATACCATAAAATTAACGTAAACATTGAAAATGTTGGCGAGATGAAATCAATCATCACCTGCGACTACTCACTTTTCTGAAATGATAATGACCATGACAGCGCGGGTTAATTGAAAACTAGAATATTTAAGCCGATTCCGACGGAAATTGAGGTAGAGGAAGAAAATCATCGAGTATATTAAACTCTAGGACAGTCGTACAAATATTCACAACGCATTTAGTTATAAATGATTTATACATAATTCATTTAACATAAAATATTTTGAATTGAAATATAAGGAATACGAAACATTCATCTAACGAGTCTTTTTTATTTTATTACAAATTCAATTTTTCACATTTAACCAATAAGAACTGTTTATTTGTACCTAAGAAATTATATAAATAAACTTCGATTAATTGAGTTACACAATTAATTTTGTTTTCGTAATAATTCTTAGTGTAATTTGGTAACTAAAACTACTAGTGTATATCTCATTAAAATTAATTCTGACCATGGGATTGAAGATGATCATACTCAATTGTTGTTGTTAAAAATGTTTTGAAAATTCTATTCTTCTACATTTTCGAGAAGTATTTTTTTAAATTACATTTCAGACAAAACAAAATAAATTGTATGTAATAAATGTGTGTTATGGATTTCAATATTGTAGTTTAGTCAATATCACGCGGTATATACATTGTTCTATCCTTGAAAATATAATGAGCAAAACAATAGTTTTTTTGTTTAGAAAACCACAAACGTGTCACCGGTATTTGATGCGATTTAGATGCGTTAAAATGAAATGTAGTTTTATTGATCATGTAAAAGTAAGTTAATATACTTCTCGTTGTGGAGGAAGACCTAATAAAAAGAAATATTTTCCACCTAATGGGTGCGCGAAACAATAACAACATTGATATACAGCAAAGGTAACCATTACTAATAATATATAATACATAAGTAAATACACATAAAAAACACTAACGTTTTCAAAATATAAATAAAAAAATGTGTCCCTTTTTATGTGTTTCTCGACGAATGCGCATGCTCGTCTTTCTAACATCAATGGTATTATTCCGTTCTTTACAATTCTCCTGAGAGTTTGCACTATGTATATCCACCGTTATCACACACCATTCAACGTTCTCGAAATGCTCCTAGGAGAGCCGAAGATGAAGAATTGAGCTATTAACATTTATAGTGCATCGCTAACACAGTATTTTCATAGTAAGAATAAATTATTGCTCGGCCCATTATTACGCGAATTCAGTGATTCGATCGCGGTTCAGTTAAACGGTACCACAATCATCTACAGCGAACAACTAAACTGTGTAACCACTCGTTATATGTTAAATTGGATCAGGTATGATGGGTAAAAAAATAACACCAATACCGTATTGTGTGCGTTATCGGGCGACAGAAGGGTGCGAATAATGGCGTGGTGTATGTTAATCGGAAAAGTATACGGAAATGAGCAAGGAAAAGTACGCGCGAGATTCACAGCGAAAATTTTAAAGATCGATTTGGACTGACGCGTTTGATTTGTAACGGTAAAGTATACGTCAATTAATAAACCGTAAATTCCGTGTAATGTTTGATTATTTTTCTTTTTCTTTTCGTCACATCGTTTTGTGATCCTTTGAAAATTTAAATAAAACTAAGTTATAACCAATGATTGACATAAAAGAGGTATTTATAGTGAGTACTGAGAGTCTTACAGAAGATGGATGAGTATAAATGAATATCCTGACAGCTCACTGTTGTTTACATAAAATAATAAATAAAAGAAAAAAAAAAAGAAAACGCTGACAACGTAATATGCAATTCAAATCACAATATGGTATCAAAAAGAACAAAAAAAAAAAAAAATCAAGTATTAAACCATTTTTATTTATACGTATACAGTTCTAAATGTTTAGAATTGTGATTATTCACTTAAATCATGTATTTTTAAAATTGTAATTGATGAAGTTACTAGCTACAATTAAGTTGATATATTATGTGCTTTATAGTATAATAACATAATTTCTGCCCCGGAAAAGAGAAAAAAATAACAGACTTCATCGAGATAGCCGATCTCACAGCGAACACGTAGGATAATGGATCTACGATACCACACTTTCACAACTATGAAAAAAATGTTTAAAAAAAATGTTCTTAAATAAAACGTTACTTTACGTGTTGTAAAAAATATTTTAAATTAATAAAATTTGTATTTGAAGACTTTAAAAAAAAAAATATCATAATGAAAAATGGTTATACTTGAATTAAATTCATTGAAATTATACTATGGTATAGTATATATTTATAATGTATATATAATGAATGAAATATAAACTATGAACTAGTTATACATATAGTTGGTTACATATATACATAACTGATAACCGATAAAACCACATAAGTATCATAAAGAAGTTAACGGTTTTACGATTTTATATCACATATATCGTGAAAAAATGTTTTTGGTTGGTACAGTGATATTTTAGTGAGTTAAGTTGTTTTTCACAATTTTTAAAGCTTCCTTATTTAACATTAATTTAACTGGTATTCTAATTAGGTTTGTTTATGATACTCTGTGAAAATGTAATAATATCAATTATTATTTACAATTTATAACCAAATATGATTTTCTTTTTTTAGATTTTAAGTGAAACGATAAACATACGTTTTTAATATCTAAATCGTTTATTTTCATACATTTTTTAAACTTTTTAGCCTTTTTTGAGGATTTATTTTAAACATTTCATTATTTTTTTTGTTTTAAAGATTTTCTTTAAAAGTATAAAATAATATTTTTATATGATCGTCGTATTTATCTTTCGGTCAGTTTCCAAAAAAAATGTTCACGGTTACTCATGTTAATACCAACTTTATACATTTAAGTTCAAAGAAAGCGATTCAGTTACCACCGGAGATTTAATTTTTTAAACAACTTATTATTAATTTATAGGATGTAGGCTAATGTAATATTATAGTTAATTCGTTTAATAATTATTATACTTGTATAAAAAAAATGGAAATATATAGTTCACTCGAAATGTATGATATTCCTTTATTTTTTTGTTCTTCAAACATTTTTAATTTTAACTGCAAGTATTTTATTACTTAATTCTCGTATATTTTCTACTACTTATGAAGCTTTTAGATTTTATGATTTAATATTAACAAAACAATAAACTTATCTTATATTTAAAATAATTAAACTTTCATATAATAATAACAAGTTTTATAACAATGTATAATAATATAATATATTGTATACTTAAAGTGCATTGTAAAAAGAATAGTATTTTACTTTTAATTTGCTATTCAAAACGTCAGGTGCTTCATTTTTGTAAAAAGTTCTTTAAAAAATTATACGTAATAATTTAATTTCAACAAGCAATATTTTTTAAATTTTAGCGAACTAAGCTCTATTTTAGTTCAAACAAACATTCACAATTTGTTGACTCTTGTGGTAAACTGTATCGATATTGAAAGTGTCCCCCCCCCCAAAGACTTAAATTGTTTGTGGGTAATCAATGCGGTAGATGGTTTCATTAAACCAACAAATCGAACTAATCGATATGGGTGAAAATATAATTTTAATTTCTATCGTATTTATATTATTGTTATTGTTTCATTTTGAATCCGGAATTAATATCGCAAACGAATTCGTAATTCTATAGTTTAAGTTTATGGTTTAAAAATGCGGAGTGTACGACATAATATAATATTTAAAGTAAATTCGTCGGATCTGTTTTGTGTAATGTAAAATAGCAAACGTCTAAGACAATTATCATTGAGTTTATTAATTTGTGACCGATAACAGCACTAAAAAATATTACACGTGTAATGTGAACTGACCATTGCACATTTGACAATTGTACGGTGACGGACTGCGCATTTACAATGGAAATTATTTGGCTAAAATTACCGTCAGTTATTTTACCTCAACGCGCACGGTTTAAGAAACAAAAGAACGAGCGACATCAGTAAAAATCGAAATTATATTTATTTTTTCCCGTCCTTTTTCAGGTCATTGTTCATTTTTTGGTTTTCCGCAGAGCTTCGTTGTCAGAGAGTTAGGATCGTTGATCGGTAAACAAGCGCAGTCGACCGATAAACATTAAAGCTAGTCGCTGTCGATCGTTTACCGCGTGCGTGAACACCGTTCGCGCGTCTACGTTTCTAAAACCGAAATCCGAACGCCGGCGCGACCTACCTGTAATAGTTGAGGACTTGCGCGAACACGCCTGGATGCCTATCGAAGAAGTATTCGTTCAGCACCGGATCGTAGTTGGCCAGCGCTTCGGTCAGCCGGCTCAACCGGGTGGCCGGTATTTTCTTCAGAGTGGCCTTGTATGTCTCGTGCCTAATGCCGCCGACGTTCAGCACCACCCGGTTCTCGGCGTCTATGTTCAGTATGTTCATCATAGTGCCAGTGCAGCTGGTGCCTCCCGTCGATTGCGGCTGGTGACCACCTACCATGTTAACCTGAACAGAACGAAAGCACAGGCAACCGTTACCGTCTCCGACCGGGCTCCGGTTACCGCGGTCGGGGCATGTCCGACAAACCTTAACATGGCGTCCGCACGTCTTCAAATAAATCTGGATGGACTTCGACCGTCAACCATCTCACCCGCGATCTGTTCATCCGCCCCATTCTGGAACAAACAAATGCGCCAACAATCAAATTTAATATTTCTCGCCATCGTTTCATTCGTAAATGGGGGTTTTTTTATACCAGTTTCGGTAACCTATCGTCAAACTACCGGATTATTTTTAAGAATAAAGCACGCTTTTAAATAGGCTCGGGATATTGTACCGAGCACGATTGCTAACGTTTCGGATTTCATTTTTGTATAAAAAGAAAAAACATACCTAATTGAATTCATTTGAATTAACATTTTAACATTCGATTTATCTATGACATTGGCTTTTCGTTTCACATTACATTATATCATTTTACATTTAAAAATCTACACTGATTTTCAACCGTTATCGTACCGACTTGTAATAAATATATATTTTATGTTTTAGAATTCGAAAAAATACTTGAAAAAAATCCCAATTTGATTTTATTGTCCAACCGTTTGGAACGAGTTTTTTTTGATAATAGCTTGGTGATAAAAAAAAAAAGACTAGGTATTCGTTGAAGCATGTTGTGCGTACGTGATTATTTGAATGGTTACTGATGACATAAAATAAAAAGGATGAGGATTTCGATAACAGTCTTACACAACAGTCTCGGGGAGTGTAGTGCAATTATTATATCCGACAATATTGAACAAATTGATTTTTTGGTATATTGTTCGAGTGAATCGAGGTAATATTCTGCTATTAAATTCCTATTTGAGATATCGCATTTTCTTTTGAGATTATTACGAAAGTCATCGTTGAAAGGATTAAACGGTCTCGTTATTACGGTGCTTTTAAAAGAGTTGATTAAATACTAACTCCCGAATCCTTTATTCCATTCCTCGCAAGATGGATGTTTAATGAAAAAGAAGAGATCGGCTTATTACCGAAGTAGATGAGACGTGTGCACAATATCGAAACGCGTAATATTATGAGACGAATGGCCAACGACAAACGTTCCATCGTCTAACGACTTTTATTTTACTCCATGTCTCTCTTTCTCACTGTTCCATCTCAACAAAGGTGGTTTCCATTTTCCGTCCGAAAAATCTTTATTTTAATTATAATGACCGTCATTGATGAAAACGTTTCATTCCACTTGTATAAACATTTTCACTGACAAAAGAGGTTTTTAATAGCGAGTACTAGTAGTTTTTTTTTCCAGTGAGACGATGGTAAAAGTCAGTCAGTCATTTCATAAACAAATAAACCCCTTTTCTTTACAGTAGATGTCGAAGAAAATAGTGGAGAGGTATATCTTTACTGCGCTCGATAACGACTCATTTTCTTCGTGTACACACGCAAGCATATGCGCACACATTATACATATATTATATATGACGTCACGTGCATGCAATTTTTTAGAACACATGGATAGGAGGAAACAAAGATTTGAAACTTTTGTCACGTCAACGGACACACTACCATTGATGCGATAGCGACTTACTTTTAAATTTATATTATCCGGATATAGTTGTACGTTTTTTACAAGAACAAAACTTGCTACTCTACTTCTTCTAATCTCACGTATAGTAACCATAAGTTGTTCACATATTGGCCTTTCGGCTATATCTGAATTTATAAGTGTATAGTTTGATGTATGAGATAAAAATAGTGTGTGTGAGTGTGAATCACAAAATAAATGTCGTTATATTGGAAAATATACAGACAACATTTAGTTGATAATAATTGAAAAGCATATCTACTCGTAACATTATGAGGATTTTATATCGCTGAAACTCGAATAAAAATTTCCCTATAAAAAACGACTCAAAGTCGTTAGGTTAGGTCAAATGAATGAACATTTTACATTTTATTTTAAATTGAACCCTTTCACTGCCATTGACTTTTGCATAAATGATCAAAATTTTATATGAATATAAGAAACTAAAAATAGTAATAGATTATCAATAATATGATAAGTGTTCAATAACTTTTAGAAGCTTTACACTCTTTTGTCCCTCAAAAAACCATAAGCACCTCCTTTGATTTCCCTCATTGGTTTAATAAAGAACTCAAAACTCTTGTTTGGAAGAAAAATAAAACCCATTCAATTTATATAAAAAAATAAAAGTAAATCAAATTATGAAAAATTCTCCTTGTTGCGAGCTCAATATAAATCATAGTCTAAAATTGTTTTTCATGATTTCATACACCGGTCAGAAAGTGAAATTATAAGTAACCCGAAATATTTTTGGAGTTGGGTTAACTTTAATACCAAGTCTCATGGTATACCCAATTCTGTATTCTTAGGTAATACTATTGCTAATAATGGTGCTGCTATTGCTAATCTATTCTCAGACTATTTCTCCTCTGTATATAACACTTCACCCGTTCATCCACCTGATGAATCTAACATTTTCCCCTCAACTTATCAATTTGATCATATCATCCCCACTAAATACAGTATCTGATGGTCTACGGTCACTTATAAAATGTAGGTCTCCCGGCCCTGATGGGGTTTCAGATTACTTTTTGTCAAACTTAGCTAATTCCATAGCTTATCCCATATCCATCTTATATAACAAATCACTTGAGGAAGAGGTATTTCCATCTATCTGGAAAAAAAGCTCTGTCACCCCAGTTTTCAAAAAAGGCAACAAATCTAATGTCGAAAATTATCACCCTATCTCTGGTCTAGTAAAAATTGGTAAATTATTAGAAAAATTGGTTTTAGCTCATATGATTAAACCAATCAATAACATTTTAGATAATAGCCAGCACGGTTTTAAACCGGGGAGGTCCACCTGAACTTGTAATTTATCGCTGCAAAATTTCATACTCAACGTTTTTAAGGATAACTGTCAAGTGGATGTAATTTATACCGATTTTGCGAAAGCCTTTGACCGTGTCGATCATGAATTACTTATTATTATATTGGGTAGATTAGGGTTTAGTCATCCATTATTATCCTGGTTCAAATCTTATCTCACAAATAGGTCCCAGTTCACCCAAGTACACGGCTTCTATTCAAAGACGGTCCCTGTTCCATCTGGTACTCCCCAAGGAGGTCACTTATCGCCCATACTATTCAATTTATTTATTAATGGACTATCACTTGTTCTTAAAAAATGCCAAATCCTGTTCTTTGCAGACGATTTAAAAATATTTACTCGTATTTCCTCGTTTGAGGATTACTTAGTCTTACAAGATGAATTAAATATTCTATCTACATGGTGCCGTAACTGAGGCATGTGTCTCAATACTGATAAATGTTATTCAATGTCTTTACCGATCTCGTGAAAATATAACCTATGTGTACTCTATAAATGATGTCACTTCAATTACAGATTTAGGAGTAACTTTAATCACTAATTTAAATTTCCGTAATCATCTTGAGTGTATTGCGAAAAAAATCGTTGAAATTTTTAGGATTTATTAAGCGCCATTCATCTAAATTTAAAGACCTTAGATCATTTAAACTCCTGTACTGTGCATTAGTTAGGTCTATTCTCGAATACAGAGCTCCTATCTGGAATCCATACAATAAAACCGATATCGATTTCATTGAACGTGTTCAAAATAGGTATTTAAAATTCGTAGCCTTTAAATTTAATTTGACCATTGATAATCATGATTATACACATATCAGATCTTTTCTTAACATTCCAGCCTTATCCTCCAGACGTAAAATAGCAGATATATCCTTTATATATAAGTTAATTAATGGTATCACCGGTGACCCTGATCTTTTAAATTGCATCCCCTTTTCTATTCCAGCTTACAATAATCGTTCCACATCTCTGTTTTACATTCCAGTATATAACACAAACTATTTAAAAAATTCCCCTATTCCTAAGGCTATGACTCTATGCAATACACTTTCGACGAGAGTTGACTTTTTCTTCTCTCCTTTAAAGAAGATAATAAACACTCACATGAACAATGTAAATACATAATGCTGGGTTTGCCTTTCAAATTTAATAATATTTCTTTTTAGATTTTTGTAAACTTAATATACCTAAGATATTTGTTGCATGTAATATTACTAATATTATATTTTTCTGTATTTGTATTCATACTTTGCTCTGTACTATTGGGCCTCGGCCCGTTTTATTCCACTGAATAAACTATTATTATTATTATTATTATTATTATTATTATTATTATTATTATTA